AATTCTTCAACTTCCATAAACATCCATTAATTTTATTCTTTTCAGTCTCACCAAATACTATATTTTCTCTCTATAAATTTCTACTTCTAACCCGATCCATCTTTCTCTCATCATAGTCAACACGCACACTCTCTCTGTTATGTCGTTTTCTGAGCCTCCAAGCCTTTTATATGTATTTAAGCAAAACACATCTTTCCCTTTTAGGATATGAGGTTCATTACTTGCACCCGAGTACTACCTCTAGTTCTTAATATAGGATACAATAGACTAATTTGAGGAGATTAAAATAAATAAATAAATTACTTCAAATATTATATTATTTATTTATTTGACGCAATAACATATAGTACATGATCTCTCTAAAATATTTATATGCATCATTAAATTATATATTAGTTTACAAGCCAAGAAAATTAATTTGGAGAAAAAGCAATAAATATAATATGTTAAAGTTATTTATTTATTTATTTTTAATCTCCTCAAATTAGTCCATTGCATCCTATATTAAGGATTGGAAGTAGTACTCAGGTGCAAACAATAAACCTCATATCCTAAAAAGGAAAGATGTATTTTGCTTAAATACATATAAAAGGCTTGGAGGCTAAGAAAACGACATGACAGAGAGAATGTGCGTGTTGACTATGATGAGAGAAAGATGGATCGGCTTGGAAGTGGAAATTGATGGAGAGAAAATATAGCATTTAGTAAGACCCAAAAGAATAAAATTAATGGACATTTATGGAAGTTGAAGAATTTTGTTATTTTTTTTCTTTTACAAAATTCATGTATTTTTTTGCACCCAAGTAAATTTCATGGTGCCTAATGCCCTTTGATACAAATTTTTTTGTTAAAAATGCACCTTAAAACTAACTTTCTGGGCTCCTCTAACGGTAAACTGATGGATGTTAACGGCATGGTGCTAGATGCTCCTTTTTGACAACTTTATGGTGTCCAGTGTCCCTTAGGGTAAACTTTGTTGTTAAAATTGCACCTTAACCCTTTTTTTTTTTTTTTTTAAGAATCACTTTTAACATTATTGGCAATGCATTACAAAGACTATTTTGAATTTCATACAAATGAAACATGCAAAAAGACGTTAAAATTATCTTATTTTTATTGCATTTTTATATTTAAAAAATGCTCACTGAAACGTAGTTTGAAATCCTTTTCAGGGAAACAATTATACTCTGTAACTTCCACTTAACAGGACTTTTAGACCATCATTTAATTGATATAAACTTTTAAACCAAAGTAATTTATAATTCATGAGCACTATTATTTATTTTAAAATTTTTAAAAATAACAGATATGGGTATTACTCCTATATTTTATGGATTTTTGTAATTTTTTCCTCAACAATCAACATTCATAATGTGAACTTAAAATGGGGACAGAAAGATATATTCTGTCAGAATACTCACCTGAACTATAAAAATATTGACATTCTAACTCTACTCTAATTGTACATTGACATGGTGGAGGCCAGATTTTAATGTTGGACAGTGAACTAAGTTAGAGCATACTCCTCCGATCCTTAATATAAGACCCATTTAACTAATTTGATTAGATTAAGGAAGTTAGATAAATTAGTTAATTATAAGAAAAGTGACACATTTTTCCTAAAACACCATAATCATCTTTTTTAATACCCCTCTCCCTCTTCTATTTGATTATGGTTGAGGGAGTATCTATAGGGGTAATTTAGAGAAATTAATAAATATGAGAAATGGATATTATATTTAAGACCAAAATCAACTCAAGAATTGGGTCCTATATTAAGGACCGGAGGAGTATAAACTTTGGCAGCAAAAAACCACCTAAACATGCAAATCAACACAACAAAACTACCAACTTATGCAAGCGTGGATACAACATAAGCAAAGAGGACAATTCAACTTTTAAGTAATATTGTAATGATGATGATTAGTTTTTCAGGATAAGTTATGATAATGACAGAGTGAGTGGTAGTCTTAGTCTTAAAACATGTTCAATTAAGATCAATCATTTTTATTATAAAAAATACTGTTTTTTTCATTTATACACAGTCAGAAAACACTTCCTTCCGACAAAGAGAGGGTGAAACATTAATATCCTCTCAACCAGCTGAGCTCGCAGTTGCCTTTCAGGTTTACTCAAGTCGATTCGCCAAATGGTTTTTAAAGCATTATATAATTATGTGCAATATACAACATGATATCATATAATTATATCTTTTAAGTAATTTTGTTATGTATGTATTTCCTATACTCATATTTGTATCAAGCATTAAATTGTAAAACTAGCATCATATGAGCTATGAACTATGTATCAAATGGGAATATTGCGCGTACGTTGTTATAGCGTATTAATTTGTGAGCTTTGGAGAAGTACTAGATTATTCATGACACAAACATACGACACAACAAAATCGTCATCTGAACCGCCATTAGTAATCACAAGCATCTATGATTAATTAAAGTTTAAGACGATGTTTTTCAATTAATCAATGGGCGTATGATTTGGGTTTCCAAAACGGCAAGATTCTTATCATTTTGATTTGATGAGTGAGAGAAAGAGAGAATGTTGGAAATTAAACAAGAAGCACCAGCTGGGAGAACAAGTGGTTCCGAAAATTGTATAAACTTCTTGGGGCCAAAGCCAGCGAAAGATAAAAGCAATCACAAAAGCCAACAACTTGAAGCAGAACTTTCCACAAATTAAACCACCTTTTTGAAAATGCTCGGCACAAGTTGCTAGTTTGCCCACCTCTTTATCCCGCTTCAACAGTTTTTTGGCTCTTGGGTTATATGATAAAATTCTATCCATTTTGATATAGCCATGCGCAAGAGAGAAGTCTAGTTTACAACCCACACACACACACACGTCTCTATCAATCTCTTTTTAAATTTAGGTTCTTCTTTTCTTTGCATTCCCCCTGGAACGTGAGGACGTGATGGGTCTGTACATTAAAGTGGGAACGCATGTGCATGTGAAAATATTGAGATTAGGCTGCACAATCAGCACACTGCGCACTCATCGCTTTCTCTGTTTGTGCCCTGAGAATTGAATAACAAGTTATAGTTACCTCATGCATATATGCACATTGCCTGGCGGGTGTCAAACTGTCAAATCACTTTTTTTTTTTTGAGAAAAAGAATTATCATTGTTATTTTTGAAATGTAGCTCCAATATGGATAAGTTTTGCTGATGTTTTTAATTTTTTATCTCTCATTTAATTTTCATGTCATTATGAAGTTGGATAATGCAAATTGCAAACTACAAACATGGCTTATTTATGTATAGTGCTTCCATTTCCATCCATCCTCCTCCTCCTCTCGCTGATTGAATGACGTGTCCCTTCTTTTGCTGCTGATTCTTTTGTAATCAATATAATGGCGTGGTTATTAGTCTTGGATTTTCATTCTGCATGGACATAGATCGCATTTTCTTCTTCTGTCCCCAAATACTTTTATGTCTGTGTTCTATGGTATATTTCTCTGATACGGATAATCCTTCTATAAATAGGAAAATTATTATTTGCAAATTACTCTTTTTGTTCTCATCATTACAGGGTCTGTTGCAACTTGTAAATTGTAAGATATTAATAGATGGTTTAGTTGAATGCTTTACTTATAAATTATAATACTCATCAATAGATGTTTCTGGGAGAATCATATCCCAAAAGCTAGTCATTGGAGGTGACAAATCCAAGATCTTATAAGACTCTCTTTCAAGGAAATACGCCTAATGTAGGACTTACAACTTAAATACAGATGAAATACTATCAAAGGAAAGTTAAATTCATAATTAGATAAGGAGACATGCATTTGTGGATTGATGATCTCATATATCATTATTCCCTTTCTTTGCATTTTGTCGAAGATATACGTTGAATAGAGTAATGTGAAAGTAAAATGAGAGAAACTCTCATTCACACCTCACTCCCTGTAATAATCAACGATTTGTAGTATCCCGTGTCGGCTTTATCATATAAACAGTTTCTTTCCAAAACCTGAAGCAGTCTCCAAAATCCTGGACTATTTGTCGAAGGACACTTCAGTTTTCAATAGAGGGTAGGGCTCAATTATGAGCTGTATTGACTTGAAACTGTGATATATTTGTAACCGATCGACGCACGAATGCATGCATTTCTGGAAATTATTTGAAACAGAAATGTGCATGATCAGACCCCACAGAAACTGCAGCTAGAAACAGTGGGAGATTAATTAAACTTTGGTGAGGATCGATCCAAAAAGTTGTCTTTATAATAATTTAATGTTACAAGTCAGAAAGAGGGGAAAAAGAAAGAAATGCTTCAAGGTCCTTTTCATTAGAACCGACCTTTCAGCCTAAGGCTTCGCCTTTCGCTTGTCTTTATTATCTTTTTCTATATTTTCTGCATGCATCTGTCCAGGATTTTGATTGCCTTTATTACTTTCCTTTGTGTGTCCCAACCAATCAAACTATGGTTTATTTTCTTCCAATGGTGAAAAGGCGTTCTAGTTAAAATAATGGACGACTTTTTTATGCTTTCCAGAGTTTTCGTTTCGATTCTTTGAAGTAATGGGATAATATGGGCCTTATTTGATCTTTTTGTTTGTTTGTTTGTTTTGACAATAGTTTTGTGAAATTAATCACTTAAAATCAGTTTTGAAAATAGGAAATCAAATAAGGTAATTTTCAGTTCATAAACTTAGGAAGATTTAAAATCTAAAATCATATTTTCCTTAAAATAATTACAACTCCTTGTTCGCAACAAACATGGCAAGTTGCAAAGATTAAAAAAATAAACGAGGTTTGTGGAAGAACAGAGGTCTAGTGTTGTTAATATAATAAGAAAATGCAGGTCTTTCTGGCAAAAAAAGAAAAAGAAAAATGAAAGTCGTGCATGTGAGAGAATATTCATTAATAAAACTTGGAAAATTTGGGGAAAAGGATGGCAATGTCATTTAACTAGTAACATTTTGGAGTTGAGAGAACCGAGACACAAGAATAAAGGAAAATCCACGTGTCGGTTATCAATCGCGAAGCTTTTGTGTGTTGGGAAAGCTTTCAGAGTGTCAGACACCAAAGTATGAGTGAGCAAAGCCATCGCCAGCCAATCAAAAGCTGCTGACGGAGAAGCAAATCCTCTCTTCGGGCGTTTTCTTCTCTGGCCACTGCTTGTTTCTGACGAACGACGCCGCCACCACCATCATTGAACTCTGCCTTCTCGCCGGAACTGACAGCTGATGCTATGGACTTTGACTTCAGGTCTTTCGGTCTTCATCCTGCCAAACATCTCTCTGCTGTTCAAGCTGCTCGCCTTCACTCTGGTACTTCCTTTTTTTCACACTGTTGTTTTTTTTTTTACTGTTAAGCATTTCTGGTATGTCGTGTTCTTTGGTTCGACTCCCCCCCCCCCGGCTTCTCGGGATTCCCTAGTCTTGTAATCCTCTCGTCCTTCTTGGGGTACAAGTGAATTTGGTTTAGCTGAGCCGAGCACAGTACAATGTATTCGACGTAGAAGTCGTACCATGCTCTCCTTCTAGATAAAGGACCTAATTTTAGGAAAAAGGTGCAGACTTTGCGATGTTGCTTTTACCACTTTCCAGAAGTAACTGCAGATGCTATTGATCCAAGATATAGATGGCTTCCATTGCTCTTCGTTTTTCGCTTTTAATTAATTAAACCAGTAGTCAATGCTTTGGATACGCGCATTTAAGGTTCTGACAAGCTCTGAGATGCAATACAATGATCCTAATTTGGATACGTATGGATATGATTATTTGTGTGCATGAAAAGGCTCGGAAATCTGATATCTTAAATAGATGTTTGTTGGGGACTCCACTAAACTTCCATATCTGTTCGTCTTACCAAAATAGTTCGTCCACCGCCGTCGGATATATTCTCTGATTTCTGTACATTAAGCACCTCTGAATCTCTCAAGAGTTTGTCAAAGGGGTTTGTTTTTACTCTATTAATGATAGTAAAACCCCACTGGCTCTGAGATTGGGGGCTGTCGGTTAGAGCCGAGCAAAATGACAAACTACATTGAGAAGAAATGCGACTCGATTGATGAAGAGCGTCAAGAGTTGCTAGCTGAAATCGGACAGCTTCGGCAATCCATTGCAAGGATGAAGCAGTCTTCGGTCTTAATGGTTGAGGGAAAACCCGTATTGTGTCCTCTGACAGGGTTGCCTCTTCAATTAGTGAGCGAGGATGAGATGGAAGATGAGGGAGCTGGAAGTCATGTTGATTTTGAGGATGATGATGAGGATGATATTGTGCTAATTGAAAATCCATTTGACTCAAATTCTGATGAAGGTGAAAACTTTTTAAATTCCAATATTTGTTTTTATAATCCCGAGAGACTCTGGAAGAAGAGGACCTCACTTCCCCGCATAAATTGCGTTTCCCCACTTTCAGCCATTAGTGTAGGAAGCTGGGTCGGGGTTCGAATCTATCCCATTTTCTGATGTCTGCCCCTTATCTCTTTCTCAGTCAAGTTCGTAATTCTTGACATTTGATATGTTGCTTGCAATGTCCTAAAGAGATTAATTCACACATAGGAGCCCTATTATGATGCATAAGACGTTGGAGTTTTGTGGTGAGCTGGTTAATGTGCATGAAATATAGACTACTATCAAGTAAAATGGACGCTCGTGTTGCCTTTGTTTGCTGGAATGCTCTTTTTTTCTTGAATTTATACAATTGAGTTCTGTGTTTCTGCTGGGAATAGCTTGCTGACAACACGCCGTATTTACTCATGCAGATAACCTTTCAGTGTTCTATGAGTCGGATGGAGATGATGATGCGCGATCTTATTTTCCATGTCCTTTCTGTTATGTGGAAATCGAAGTTCCTGTTCTCTGCAGCCATCTGCAAGAGGAGCATTGCTTTGACCTAAATAATGCCGTATGACTTTCTGTTCCTTAAATTATGTTTATGCAGAAATTTTTGTTCACATGATTCCTTATTGTATTGAAACTCTATTGTTCCTTTTTCCTTGATTGATTTGAGTAGACTGTACTTACTTGGTCTTAGTTTTAGTTCCTTGTTTGTGTACTTCTGTTTGAAATATCTGAACAAAACATTTTTGTACCTAGTTGATATAATACCTTATCCTTACCTGAATCAGATGATAAGGATGAGACAGAACATTTATAAACATCATGTATTATTATTGAATTCCGAGTGACTGCTACAATGTTCCTGTTTCAGGTTTGCCCTCTCTGTGCTGCAAACTTAGGGAGGGATGCAAATGCACATTTTATTGTACAACATTCCAGCTCGGTTAAGGTATGTCCTGAATGTATTCTGGTGTGTTTTTTTGGGCTTTTTAAGCATTTGTTTCTTGTATAATGTAGTTGAATGTGTGTACTGATCTCATGTTTTACAGCGGAGGCGCAAGCCTGAGAAATCGAACAGCTTGTCTGGTAATTCAGCGATGTTTGGCAAGAAACTGGTGACTAGTGCGAGGGGAAACCGACATGACCCAACAACTGATCCTCTTCTGTACCCCTTTGTCTGCAATAGCTCCATTCAAAACTCCGACAGTGTTCATCAAGATGAACTCTCCAACAATGTCTCAACCATTTCTGAGGGAAACAGGTATGGCTCTTTTTCCATCTGAGATTCAGCAGTAATGAGAAGTTAGTATATCAACTTATCAAGAGAAGCTTCCAGTTTAAGAGTGGACCTAATGTATATGAATGTACTCAGAAATCAACCGTTTTGCCTATTCAATCTTGGCTGAACTCCTGTTGTGGGAGACAATAGACATTAGAAATTAAATTACTGACTTGATATTGACTAAACTAATAGTGAAGTAGACTATGGATTCACCGCATTCCACTCTATATTTCACTATTCTCTACAAATAAAAACGTTTCTTCTTATGATATTTGGGAAATTCTATAGCTGTTGGCATTACATTAATTGCTGAATGATTGTATCATACCATCTTGTATATTTCTGAGTCAACGAGGAACTCATTCTTATTTGGGATATTTGCATTATGATCCTTTTCACTTAAGGAATATTTTGAAATATCCACAAGGGATAGCAAGATTATAGTTTAATTGCAATTGGTGGGAGAAATTAATATAGACATGAACATTCTAGCGCGCGACGATGAACTGAGAAACGAGTTACTGGTTTGAAGTGAGAGCTATAGACATGATAAGCTGGCTGCAAAAGCGAACGCTTTTCAGACAGCGTGGCAATAATTTTCTGGTTTTTCTGCATTATAATTACTTTGCTAGGTGTGCTTAACATGATTCTGTCGGTCATAAACATACAACAGTAATAAGAATGATCTAGTGCATTTAACAACCAGTCCATTTTATCTACTGCCAGTGTCAAAACAAGTTAAGCTAACCCGTACTACAAATACACAAGGAGTGAGAATTTGAATATTCTTGGCTGAACTGCTCCGTTATTTTCACCAGTCTCTGGTTTAGGAGGTTAAGCCTTGTGCTGATTATTTAATTTTGATGTAAATTGATCTTGCTTATGTTCTAAAAGAGCTTACATGCATTTCATTGGTGCTATTTCAAGGGCAAGTCTTCATTTCCTGCTTCTCTCTCACACTGTGGTTAACTTGAAAAACTTGTGTTCATTTCAACGAAATCTGCATGGTTGCATCTTTGAAGATTAATTCCAAATGTTAAAATTCAGGTTATGGTTTTCTCTGGGCAGGGCGGGTGATGAAAAGGATCAGCGGGAGAGAAAGCAGAAGGCGGATTTTGCTCAGCAGTTGATAACATCAACCATCTTCCAAGAGTTATGGTGGTAGAGTTGCTCACTGCTACATGAATCATATACATGTATATTGGAAACTGAAGGTTCCTTCTTGAGACAGCCCTTGATATTGGTTCAACAGGCACCGTATTTAATGGCAGTGCATGGACTTAGGATATCACAGGTGTATTCATGAAGCTCCCAGAGATGGAGGATCTTTATCTCTCTGTAGACTGCTATAAAGAACCATACCTATATATCAGTATATGGAAAGATGAAATTGCATTTTATTTAGGTATCTCCTCTGTTATGCGTCTCTTTTTTAAGTTTTTAAAGATCAAACCATTACTGTCAATCATTTGCATCGAATAGAATAAGGACTATTGGAAGCACTCATGATATGAAACCACAATGCCAAGGGGAAAATGAGATGAGACGCCCTTCCGTGATTCCATTCATCAAGTGGTGAATTAGACTTCCATTTGGAGGCATGAACCTCAAGGATGGAGTCAATCTGACCACATAACAAAGTTGAATCTGCATTTGAGTACCCAAAGGTTAGACTTAATGATAAAACTTATTTCGTATTACAATTCTTTCACTTGCTGCAAAGCTAGTGATGTAAAAACAGGAGAAGCCTATACTTGTTGACTAAACCTAACATGACACCTGATAAGCATTCAGTCTGTTGACCTCGGACTAGGATGAGATGTGGGCAACTGGGCATATAGGCCCTAGTAAATAGTGAACCCATTTTTCAGTGACAAAGTAACTCTTCTCTTACTCATTTATTTTCTTTAAAAATAAATTATTTTATTACTTTTATATATTTGATTATTTGTTCATTTAAGTTTGATTTATTTTCGTCCTCCTGGAACCAAAAAAAGAAAAAAAATTTTAAACTAAACATAATCAATGAATAAATATAGCATGAATAAGATATAAAACAAATTAAAGTTGAAAGAACTAAATTAAAACACAAGTCAGAAGACCAGATCTACGTAAGGTCATCAAAAGTTGAAGTTTCACGATAAGAAAAGATATATAAATCAGCAGTCTCAAATCTCAATAATATGCACATCCGATGATACTTGCTACATCTACTCGCCATGAGATTGTCATATGATTGAAGATCATAAGAAACAGTGACTTAGGAGGAGAACTACTTTCCAGCCTCATTAGATAAATCGGATATTCTCATGCAAGCAGAAGTTCAAGTAACCTCGAGTACTCATCAGACGAAACAATTGGGGGGGGGGGGGGGGAGGTAGAAGAGAGCATGCGAAAGATATTATCCAGCTTGACTAAACATCTCAAAGCAAAAGGATAGACCTACAAAATATAAGAAATTGGATATGGCATCAGTTCGTGTAAAATGGAAAATTAATCGCATAGAACTGTAAATAGGGAGATCTCCACCACTTCAAGAGTCCTGCTTGCTCTTGCACTCACTCAATGATCGATTGAATCACACCAGCTCCAACAGTCTTCCCTCCTTCTCTAATAGCAAACCTCATTCCTTGTTCACAAGCCACAGGCACAATAAGTTCAACAACCATCTTAACACGATCTCCAGGCATAACCATCTTTGATTCTTCATCCTTATCATTCATAATGGCAGTCACTTTCCAGTCACATCAGTAGTCCTCATGTAGAACTGTGGCCTGTAACCAGCGAAGAATGGTGAGTGCCTCCCTCCCTCTTCCTTCTTCAGGACATAAACAATTGCTTCGAACTTGGTGTGTGGAGTAATGGTGCCTGGCTTAGCCAAAACCATCCCTCTCTGAATATCAATCTTCTGGATACCTCTCAACAACAACCCCACGTTATCCCCAGCCATGGCCTCATCGAGAATTTTCTGGAACATTTCTACGCCAGTCACGGTTGTGCTTCTAGTTTCCCTTACACCGACAATATCCACAGTATCTCCAACCTTAATTGTACCTCTCTCAACTCGGCCTGTGGCCACAGTCCCACGACCCGTGATTGAAAACACATCTTCAATGGCTAGCAAGAAAGGAAGATCAGTTTGACGCTGGGGAATTGGGATGTAGCTATCCACAGAATCCATGAGTTCGTAAATTTTGTCGACCCATTGGCTTTCTCCTCGTTTAATGGTAGGATTCGCCATTAAAGCCTCCAAAGCGAGCAGAGCAGAACCAGAAATAATGGGGACATCATCACCAGGGAATTCATAAGAAGAAAGAAGCTCACGAACCTCCAATTCCACAAGCTGCAAAAGCTCCTCGTCATCAACCTGGTCTTGCTTATTTAGAAACACGACCATATTTGGAACACCCACTTGCTTAGCCAAAAGTATATGCTCCTTAGTCTGCGGCATTGGACCGTCGGCGCCGGAAACAACAAGAATAGCCCCGTCCATCTGCGCAGCACCGGTAATCATGTTCTTGACATAATCGGCGTGGCCAGGACAGTCGACGTGGGCGTAATGGCGATTCTCAGTCTCATACTCGACAGTGGCAGTATTAATGGTGATTCCACGAGCTCGCTCTTCAGGGGCAGCGTCAATTTCGTCATACTTCTTCGGGGCACTGTTTCCCAAAGCCGCTAAGGCCATGGTGAGAGCAGCAGTGAGAGTGGTCTTGCCGTGGTCGACATGGCCAATGGTGCCGATATTGACATGGGGTTTCTTCCTCTCGAACTTGCCACGAGCAGCTCGGATTGTGAAGGAGCGGTGGCGGGTGGTGGCTGAGGAGGGAGGAGGGAGAAAGGTGGAGGATTGTGGAGGGATTAATGAAGGAAGAGGAGAGATGGGATGAGGGGGATGTGAGTTTGTGGGGGTTTAGAGAGAGGGAGGGAGAGGAAGAGGAAGAGGAAGAAGGAGAGGAGAGGGATGGAGGAATATGAGCTTGGAGGAAGCAGAAGCTGTAGCTGAAGAAATTGCCATTAGAGAATCCGTGAGAGAGAAGAGAGTGGTGTGAGGGTATAGAGCAGAAGAACTGGAGAAGATAGGGGAAGAGGATGACGATTTCAGGATTTTGTTATCTGTGGCAGAATAAAAGAGGACCTCACATCGGCTCTATCCACTTCTGCCTCATTTCGGGTCTGGGGAGGGACTCTCCTTGCGAACAAACCTCGCATTGTGGAGCATGGAATTTTGGGGCGAATTTATTTACTTAATGACGTGTCGCACTCACAGAACACAAAATGTCCTTGGAAAAACACAATATATCCACCTACACCTGACAAGCAAATTTTCATGTTTTGGAAAATTACCTTTTTTGATTTAATATTATTTTTTAAGTCCAAAGTAGCTCTTTTTTATATTTTATATTTTCCATTATTTTGATAATAATTTTTTCATTTCTTTTAATTATGGCACAAATATTTATGTCTTCATTTATTTATATCTCCCTATTTAAATACTTGAGGCTGAAATATTTCCTTTATTATAGATGTTCAATGACTTGTATCATTTTCAGTTAAGAAATTTAGGTTAAAGAATACGAGTCCTAGTCATTGATCTTGACACGAACTCAATTGACATCCCCACACTGGCGAGCCTTGTTGGAAGTCTAATCTACCCTTCAAAATCCCACACAAAATTTCTCATAACAATAATAATAAGCCAGGGCCCTTGTCACAACCATTCAGCACATGAGCATTTAGTTGAAGATCAAACCAAAGGAAGCGAACGAAGTGTCCTCAAATTTGGCCTACATATGGAACAACCAAGGACCTCCACTGAATTTTCCCAAAATTAACGGGTTGTCTGTACTGTGGAGAAAGAATTGTCAGTGAGCATACGTACAAGTGTATACTTCCTAATTGAATGTCTATAGTCAGTATCAAAGTATATAACAGGGGGCGAGCTCTTGATGACTCAATTTCAAGGGTGATTCCTCCTCGTGGCCTTATGCTTCTTATCAGATCCTCCGGGCTGTGCAGAAAGTTCGATATTTTCTCAACGAAATCTCAGAAGAAATGACTTCCTGTATGACTTTGCTGCTTTGTCTTTTAACATGATGCCAACAATACCCATGCCAGCAGAATTACCATTAGTCATACCCCCTTTCAATCATTGATGATGAACCTAAAATATTGACAATAATTAAGTAACCCGAAGATTTCCAAATATGACACACAAGATTCTGAGCTCAGAATTTTTCTGATGACAGCTTTCTTGATGAGGATGAGCCCAGAAACCTCATAAACGCGCATTAAGCATTGGAAGAGGCCTCAAGTCTGTCTGCATCTGCACTGTCAGGTAACTCCAGGCTATATGCATTTAAAATCAGCTGCCGCACCTCAGAAGGGAGCTTCTTCAGAAAATCTGAGACGGCTAATTCATGTTTCTTCTCTAGTTTTTTTAAGTCTTCTTGCTGTGTCACCAACAATTTTTTTAGTTCTGAGGCAATTAAGTTGACATTTTCTAATTCAGAATCTCCTAATATGCTAGATTTTGCTTCTGGAGGAGATTCCCCTTCCGTTACTTTTGAATCCTTGGATGCTATCCTTCTCTCAATGGAATGAAAATCAGCAATCCCACTAGGTTTCTTTACTGAACTCCTATCACCATCATGAACACAGTTCTTAGCCTGCTGATGAACTGAGACAGCATCATTTCCAGTCAAGTTACTTTCCTCGGTGCCCACATCCACTTTACAGGACAGGTTAGAAGCATCGGCCCTTAAAAAAGAGTTTTTGACTGCTCCCTTGGGTGAGTCCGACCAGAACTTACGGCCAGAGGGTAATATATCCAGTGCAAGACTATCAGTAAAGTTGGTAGAGGCAAATCCGCTTGAAACTGCCGGCCCTTTGCCAGATCCATGGATGGGACTTTCACTGGGATTCCAAACTGGAAAGTGGTTTTGAATTTCTGACTCAATCATCTCAGCAATAGTTGTGACATCTTGATCAGAGAGCTCAAGCTCTTCAACCATTTCGCCAGCAACCCCAACTGCAGTGTCTGCCTCAATATTAAAAGGAAAGTGGATATTGCAAATACGACCTAATCCCACATAAACAGCAGCTATTTTAGATCCTCCAAAGGGGGAAAAAAATAATAATAGACAGTTAGATCTGACATTTGTGTGTATGTGTGAAAGAAAACCTGACAAGTCTACTAGTCTCAGTTTCAGAAATATTGTATTGACATCTTTCCGTTGACCTTCCACTCTAAATTCCCTGCTTGTCTCTGCAGAAATATCCTCAGTGAGTGCTTATGCCAATGGCATGAGGGCCACAACTATGTCCTACATTTGATAAATCAAATTGTAAAAGAGAATCGAGCAGTAGGAAATTTAGATGCCAAGAATGTTTACCAGCATGGTGAGTTTTAGGCCATAAAAAACGACTTATACCCTCAGTATCTTCGTCTAAATGAAGAAAGGAATCCATCAAGAGATCCTTAGCCGGTAATCGTTCAGATACATGGGCAATACACTTCCCTATAAATGCTTTCACCCTAGGATCTGTCACTTTTGCCAAAGATGCCGGCTTTACTCCCTACCATGAAGAGCACAACACAAATCATGACGATATATGAACCATAAATCCACCAGAATCACCACTTTTGAAGACTTCTCATCGAAGTAATTATTTTATACTGAGTATACCATATTAGCAAAACCAAGTCAGGTATAAATGCTTCAGAAAATCTGAATAGCTTATCCTTAACGAAAAGCAGCATGGCAACAAAAGGAACTATAATTAAAGCAACTGGATTGTACCTTGGATGGTACAAAAATATTCAAATCATGGAAATGCCACTTTTTTTTGCTTCTTAACTAGAGGAGAGTGATGATTGATGATAAATGAAGTTGAGACAGGAATTGCATTGCATGCTTGGTGTTGAAAGGAATTGGAAAATAACACACACTCTCAAAATAAACTGAAACCGAGATGTTAGTGTCCCACGACATGAGATATAGTCCAGAGATTGTGAAGCACTTACAGATGTCACCTTTTTGTATATTTGAGCGGCATTTGCACATTCAACATATGGGTACTCAAAGGTTACCAATTCTAGCAAGCACATGCCAAAAGCATAAATGTCAACAAGCTCATTGTATTCCTCTTCATAGAGCTCTGGGGCCATAAACTCTGGAGTACCTGATTTCGCGATGTGAATTACATATGCCTCGAGTTAAAATGATCCCACAGTAGTTAACAATCCAAAACACACACACACACAAACACACACACACACACACAAACGTCTCACTTAACAAATGCTACCTATGACACTATGAGCTGAATTGGCTTGTTGAAGAATGGCTGCCAGTCCCAGGTCACCAATTTTCACCTCACCTTGATTTCCATTGACAAAGATGTTGTCACACTTAAGATCTCGATGAATAATTGGTGGATCATGACTGTGAAGATAGAAAAGCCCCTCCAAAATCTGCCTAGACCATTTCTTTAAGGCTTTCAAGTCAACACGCTTGTGTTTCTTCCTGTATCTGCGTGAAGAAAATTGAACTTCGACACAAAAGCCCAATAAGACATGCAAAGGGAAGGGAATGGTTAGGACCATGATGAACCCAACTCACTGGCGTAATGTTCCTGAAGTAAATATTTCAGTGATGAAGTTGATGTTGCCATGCTCAGGATCAACCCATGAATTATAAAATGTGATGATATTTTTATGCTTTAAAGTCTTCAGCAGATGAACTTCTGAATACAGGCGTTCCAAATCTTCAGAATTATGCATTCGTTCATCCACTTTAACTTGATTCCATGCAACCTCAATTCCTTCCAACTCATCGAAAGCTCGATATCTTTCGTCGTTAAAATAAACAAGCCATCTCCTAAGGAAAAGAAAAAACAAAAAGAACAAAAAAAACCCTCCCTGAAGAGTTTCCTCAAAAATAACATACGTAGTTGCTTTCACCCAGAACATATTAATATAAACTGTCAAAGGAGGGGGGGAAAAAATAGTGCAAGGATACACTTCCTTGAAAGCTCCCTTCCCTAAAACTTCCTTGTACTGCAAGAATCAGACATCCGAAGTGAGAAATGAGCAAAACAGCCCGTTAAGGGACAATATTGATCAAAACAAGCCGCATTTTTGTGGGAGCGCTACATAATAGATTATAAAACTATGCAATAACAAACAAAACAATTAGCTAAATCAGATTGAACCAGGCTGCAAAATTATCACATTTCATACGTGGTTGAAAGCAAAAACACAACCAGATTAAAGAGGAGATAACGGGACAACTTCAAATAATACTGAAGCCAAATAGAAAAACAGAGTTCAAGTCCACAAAACAGAGGAAGCTGACCCGAACATAACGACCGGTGGGATCAACCTCTACAAATTCAGAGTCAGAGCTATCAAAGTCTCGTTGGGACGAATCCTGCAGCATTGCCGGAACAAAGACCTGAAGGCGGCTGCAACTGAGAATGAGGACAGAATTAAAAAAAGTTAGAACCGAAAATGATGAGAAGGTGGAAGAAGCAAGTGGATACGGGCATTGTGTGGGGATATACCAAAAGCGATTGAGAAAGCAGAAACGTGTGAACTGTGACGAAAGAAGAGTGAACGTGATTATGATCATATAAATAAATAAATAATTATGCGGGAAGGGAAGAGAAGTTTTGGTGAGAAACAAGTGGATGGAAGCCGCCTCTGAGTCATTGAATTTCCTCTTTTGAGTTCAATTCATCAGTCAAAACGGACGAAGCGTTTGGACTTTAGAAGATCTTCAGGTAAGTAACAGTGAGTGTGTCTGTGAGTTTCCTTCTTTTTCTACAGCTAAGAAAGAAACGCTCTTCTTTCTTGACGTTTCCTGCCTGATTCTTTGGCTGTTGTTAAAAGAAGAACGAAATTCAAGGTTAAAAAAAGCCGCATCCATATTCTGCCATTCATTCGTGAGCATATACACGCCCTTTCTCCAAGCAAGTGTTACGTTCTCGGCTAAGAGGAAGAGGGGAAGGTCACATTGAGTTAACGACTTGGCCACTGCCATCGGAAAGGCGAGCTCACATTCTTTGCTTTTATTGGTCAAGGGGGAAGGTCATTTATATCACGTATAATTAGCTGCCGTTAATTAACTAATTATTGAAATTTAGGTTCGTTCTTAAATTATTATGACATTTTCCTATCTATCTAATCTAGTCCTAAACCCCTTCATTTCTAAATATAAGGGCGTTTTAAATAATTTATTATAGAATAAGAAAGAAGAAGTTAAGATAGAATTTAACCCTTAGAGGTAAAACTGTTTCAATAAATAGAGATATTATTAAAAAAGAAACAATTAATATAGGAGATAAGAAAGAACTCAATCTTATATTTTTCATTAGCAAAAAAAAAAAAAATCTTATATTTGTGATCAAGTCAAGACCGTTTAATATATTTAAGACTACAAGTAGTATATACTATGTAAGAATTTTCAGTGACATAAAATACATTAACTTGAATCCTTAATATAAGAACTAGTTAGTTAATTTGAAAATATTAAAGAAGTAAGTTAAGTTAGCTATTTGTAGTAAATAGATGTTGTTTTTCCTGAAATACTTTTGTTAATTATGTGTGTTTGAATTATCTATTGATAGTAATTCCTTAACAAATACAACTACTATAAGAATTATTTTAAAGGCAAAATAAATAAATATTATAAACAAAGTGAATTGAAGTTTTAGATTTTGAACTAAATTGAAAATCAAACTAGCTCTTATATTAAAAAGTAAAAGTAGTAGTATGTAAGAATTTAGACGATGCTTTTAATTTTCTATTCTATTAATTTTATTATTTTAATGATAATGATAATAATGTCGTAGAAATGGACAGAGTTAGATAATCTCTGACTGCGGAGGGATGATTAGATTAATTGGGGTTTTATTATTTGTTATCCACTGATCGTCTTAACTAGAAAGTTCGCAGTGGATTCTAAACAAGATTGCGTCATTAAACATGTTCATTATCAAAGTCAACAAATGCGCGTGGGGATTTCGCCTCACCTTTTGATCAACGCAAACAAGAAGCGATTACTTTTATTTTAAAAAAGGAAAAATATGCGTGTAAGAACGATCAACTGAGCAAAATAAATCAACCCTAGATAATATTAAAAATTAACACTAATTACAATCACCATTCCGTGAACTTAGCAACATGTTTGCATCCTTATCAGTCATTGATCTGACACACACGTATATGTATAATCACAGATATAAAAATAAAATATTTTATATGTGAGTAATAAAATTAACTCTTTTGAATTCTTATGTTACTTAACATAAATATAACTCACTACGTTTCAAACCAAACTTAGAAATTCGATAATTTAAAAAGAAATTGTTGACGGAGGAAAAATGTGCGGGGTGCGTGGCGGTATAACGTGTCAACTTTTTTCTTTCTTCTAGGCACAGGCCTATTATCAAAACTAATTATATTTAAGACACTATCAAAAACTAAGTATAGATATTTATTAATTATGTTTTGTCATGTTATAATAGACTAGGTCATTGTGCTAGACTCCATTTCTAACAACTTCATATTCCCCTTTAAAACTCTGGTAAAGCCCATTAAGTGCGTCACCACTGAGCCCATTACAAGTGGCCTTTTATGGTCAAATGGTTGGGCTTACTGCAGCCCACTTTAGCCCAAAGCGTTCGTCAGTCTAGATCTGTAGGCTTTTCCTGGGGTTTGGTATTTGTACATAATTTCCCTCAAAATTCACCCATATTTAAAAGTATAATTATCAAAATATGCTTTTGAAGAGCCTTTAAAAGGGCTAGTGACAGGAGAATGCTGCCGATTATAGGGACCAGTCCTATTGCTAATTTTCACAAATTAGTTCTAATTATCTGACCCTCTGTATCTCAAAATAAATTAAAAAGTGGGTAAAAGCAAATCTAAAATCAAAATGCTACAATAAGAGGCGGATCTGGGTTTTTCTCCCCACATTGGTCTAAGTTTGCTCTCCTCCTTGAATTGAGTAAAGTGGTTAGGTTTGAAGCAGTTAAACCGTCAATTAACCTCTTTAGCTGGTGAACACTTCTTACTCATTATTAATTTTCCTCCCTTATTTACTTGTTTTAATTTAATTTTTCATTTTATCCTTGAATATATATCCTGTATCAAATTTCAAGGTATAATTTAAAATAATGCATTATTAAATAAATTATAAAAATAAAAAAAATCTTAAATAATATTAATTCCTGTTTTTAATATAAAAGCCAGATAACTATTATATAGATATTAAAAAATTTATTTAAGTTTCTCATTTGTAACAAATGTGTGTTGGTTTTTCTAAATTATATTTCTAGTTATTATTTTTTATGTGCATTAAAACTATCTCTCAGTGAAACCCTTTATAATAAAAAAGAGACATCTCAGGGAAAAAATTGTAAAATGAGAACAATAAATTAAAATTTTATATGTAAGATTAAATTTAACTCGCGCTCAGCTGCTATATTAAAAGGAGGTTATATATATTTTCCTTTCTTCTATGTTTTATCCCATGAGCAGATAACAGCGATAGAAGAAATACATAAACCCACGTTACTTTTTGCTCGAATACCATTAAATAGGAAGCCATCTGTAATCCACACAGTGCATTATTTATTTATAACTTCTGAACTTTTTTAGACTCTAGGGTCATCTTTACTGATAATAAAAAATAATTACTTTCGTAATGCTAAAAGCAGAAGATACAATTTTTTTAATTAGGGTTTCTCCCTACAAAAAATATTTAAATTGAACTGCCTACCCACTCTATAATTTTGAGATTCTTATGTATATATATTTAAGCGCAATAAGTCAATAAATGAAAAATGTGCACTTCTATAGTTTCCATTAATCTACTGTAGGTAAAAAATATTAAAAAATGTAATAACTAGATTTCTCCTATAGTGAAATTGAAAAAAAAAACAAGAAGAAAAGAAACGGCAGAGGGTTAAAGGAGACGGAAACAGAGGGAGTCGTGTGTTTGGAAGCAGAGCAGGACCAGATCTCTGCAACTACCACGATACATTACTCTGACCTCACCCTGCATCATTAGATTCCTCCTTCTATGACTTCTCATAACTCAACAGTCCCTTTTCCTAATTTTTTTTTTCCTTCTCAATTACTCACATCATATTCACAGACTTGTATTCAAAACAGGACAGGACGCATCATTATCAAAACCATTGCCATCTGAACTACAATCAACCTCAGACAAACAACGACCACTCTTGAAATCGATTGACTCTGTGATTATTGAACCTGAAGATACAGCAGATGAGATATGCTCGTGTCTTTGTCTCCTGGCTTCTTTACCAGCCACTCTCACACTGTCTTCCTATTCCTGGCTTCCTGCTATCTTTTTGACAGATAACCTCACTCTTCTTTCTTTCAAGTGCAGCAACAGCTAGCTCACGGGGTTATATGACTTTGACTCGCTTATTAATCTTAGGCGGAGAGAAATACTAGTACAGTACTATATTTGTTTACGCAAAATAAAATATTAATTTTTGATATACAGTAATCGTAAGCATAAGAAGAGAGTCATCACCCACCCTGACCTTGCGTCGGAAAAGCCAACCCATACGACAAATCCCTATTTGTTTTGTTTTGACGGGTGATTTTTGGGCTTATCATATCCCACTGTTATGCGCTGTCACGGCGGATGGCTCAGGTTGTAAAAATCCAGACACCAAATCTGGTGAAAGCTGCCTTCTATGCTTCTAAATACTCCTGGAACTATTTAAATCTTGATTATACCTTCTCATCAAAACCACCTTGGATTCCCCCAAAAACAACTCTAAAGCTGATTTCTGCCCTTCAGAAAACGAAATAAAATGAAATAAAATGAAATAAAATAAGATTGAGGTGACAGATAAGAGAAAATAGACAGAGGCGCAGCAGAATATAAAAAGGCTTCTTCTTCACTCACTCTCACTAGGTGCCAGTCCATTTGCCAGTTTGGACTCCCTTTTTAAAAAAATCCCTTGAATGCTGCCAATCACACCAAGCAGCATCTAAGCTTTCATCCTGCCTCTCCCCTCTGAGCCTGTGACTCTGACCTCATCTCTCTCCCTCTCTCTCTCTCTCTCTCATGTTACAATTTGCCGCCGATCCTCTACTTCTGCTTCATCTTCCTGCTGTAACCAAGACCTGGGCTTGACCACCCAGAAAGGGCGGCATCATCAAGAGCTATGCAAGACTCAATTGGTATTCCTGCTTGTTTTTCTTCTGCAGAGAATGATCACGTGGCTGTGACTCGCTCGGGCCAGAGCGTTTTCGTGTCTGTGTACAGAACAAAAATTGCTGATCAATGCCGCTTGATCACCATTACTTGGTGTAAAAACTTGCTGCTTCATGGCCTGTCAGTATCGGTGGAAGGTCTGGAAGGAGAAACACAGTACGCCTGCAAGGTCGAGCTTAAGCCATGGTACTTTTGGAGGAAACACGGTTCCAAACGATTCGTGGTAGATGGGAAACCTGTTGATGTCTTCTGGGACCTTAAAGCTGCCAAATTTAACGGGGAGACAGAACCAACCTCGGAGTACTATGTTGCAGTGGTCTGCGATGGAGAGGTTGTTCTGCTCCTCGGCGATCTGAAGAATGATGCCTACAAAAGGACGGGATGTAGGCCATCTCTTATTGATCCCATTTTGGTTTCAAGGAAAGAGCATATTTTCGGGAAGAAGAAGTTCTCAACCAGAGCTAAGTTCCACGAGAGAGGTAGATGCCATGAGATCTCTATTGAGTGCAAGAACAGGGGAAGTGGATCGAGAAATGGCAACAAAGCAAATGGGGTTGAACCAGAGATGGAGATAAGGATCGATGGCCATTTGGCCATTCACGTAAAGCATTTACAGTGGAAATTTAGAGGCAACGAGTCAATTCATCTCAACAAAATGAGAGTGGAGGTATATTGGGATGTGCATGATTGGCTCTTTAGTCCTGGTTTAAAGCATGCTTTATTCATTTTCAAGCCAGTTTTCTCATCTACATCTCAATCGTCCCTATCATCTTCATCCCCTCCAGTATCATCTTCATCATCGACTCCAGCATCAACTCACACTGTTTGTTCAGGATCGGTGGAGGGACTAACAACTCTGGGTGGGTCATCAGAATTTTGTTTGTTTCTCTATGCTTGGAAGGTTGAATGAAAGAAATGAACCAGATTATGGTGATGCTGCATCACCATCAATGCCAGCAAAATAAGGTTGGAAAGGACTTGGGTCTCCAAGTTGTGGTACAGCATGGACGCAGATTGGGTCGAGAGGGTATTGGAGAGGGGAAGTCAGTGGGGGCCAAAACAGAGGATTTGAGAGTTAGTAACAGCTGGGGTCAAACAAGAGTGCACAAATCGACAAGACACATAATACGGCACACATGCCCAATAATTCTCCGTCTAGAGGCATCTGCGTGACTACCATCTGGAAATTATGTTTCCTCTTTCTTGATCTGATCTTGAGAACCGAGCTGTGCTTCTTTCAAAAATCTATCGACCAAAGGAGTATTCTTTAGTTTTTATATACAGAAACTACAGCAAAATAGACTGCTTAACCGAGTGTCTCTGTTTGCCCATAAAAATGCGTTTTCCCGGCAAGAAGGTGGGGGTGTTTGGTGATGATAGAAAGTTAGAAGCAGTGTGTAAGAATAAGAATCCATTTTTGTGCATATCATATATGGTTCTCCCTCAATTAGGTAGATTATCATGGTCAATGCTTAGCTGCCTGATTGCAGGCATTACAATATAGTAAACTGTTAGGTGTGGGTTTTTTTTTTCCCCTTTACTTTAAAAAAGAATTCATGTGAAAGAGTATTTTTCTCTTCTTTAATTCTTGGAAGTCGCTCACACCATGTCAAAAGAGGCGGTTCCTTTACTTGTCCCCCGGGGGATTCAAAAACCAATTAAGAAATTATCACATAAAAGATAAAAATTAGATTTTATATTAAGCATAGAAGATAATCCAATATTAACAAGTTTTCTTTTCCGCATGGGTCAAAAGATAGGAGTAAGTGAGGAACCAAGTTCGTTTTTAAAGGAGCAGTTAAGGGGAAATGGACCCAAGCAGGTTATTCTTTCACGTCAACATCAACACCAATAACTACTTGGTTGTGGTGAAATATTGAGAGGAACAACGTTGATTTACCCAAGAAAAATCTCTGGTAGGTCCATACTTCACGGCTCTGCACAAAAAGCATCCAAGTAGTCAAAATGATGAGGGCGTTTAACCTTTTCATGCGCACTCACACTAATGAGTGGTAATGTTTGTTCAATTTTTTTCGTTGTTAGGCTGCATTTACAAACTAATAAGCATCAGGAAAATTGGATATCTCCATCTGTTCATTTTGAACCAAAACCAAACCACTTGAATAAGAAGAACTTGTTCTTTTCGCCGGAGGGATCCTTTTCTGGTTGACCAGGTGGGGGAACAGGAATTTGCGAAAGAGGCGATGCATCTTTTGCTGCAAGGAATGTTAACAGATTTATACAAAGAGAAAAGCAGACTAACAGAGTAATAATAATAACCAGGAGCACTGAGTTAATCAACTATGAGTAAAAATAAAACGACATACAACCTGAATTTAGTGAATCCTTGTTAATTTTAGCACTCTCTGTATCGGCAGAATTCTTATTTGGACTTTTCATGACGACTTCACAGTCAGATGTAGAGGTTGACTTCCGCTGCCGGGTTACATGTTCCATGTTTCTTTCACTGCTCTCGTCCCCTACAATTTCCAAGCTCAAGGTAAAAACTGAAAAAGCCAAGAAAAGACTGTGACAAAAAAAAAAAAAAACCATTGAAGCTTGGAACAACAGAAAATTATCACCTCAGAGTTTGTGATCGATATCCTTACAAATTGAAATTTCAAATCTATGCTAATGGAAAGGTCCCGTGAGATTAAATATTTGTAACTGAAAAGACAGGAAATGGTGAATTGCTGCTTCATTGGCTTACGCATCAGCAGTTTGAACAATTGGTGCTCAAACCTCGAGTCAAGACATGTCTAAAGCAGCTATAACTAGTTAGAAGCAAAAAGAACCTTGTTTAGAATTTAAACCAAACAAGGCTTCCTTGAAAGAACTAGACCCTACTAGAACTGATCGTGTACTTGACAATATGGAAAGAGCTCCAGTTTCTAATTAATTCTTTCTGCTGAAAGCACCGTTCCGTCTTTCTGTGACCTTTATTTAAATGTTGATCATGAATTACGTTAAAATCAACTCACAATTATGTGTAGAACAGTACTTGGGTACCATAGATACACTATTTTTACAATTAAAAGCTCAGATTAAATTCATACTTGTGGACAGTGTAAGGATTCAATCTGAGTCCTTAATTTACAAACACTACATGGCACTCAAGAATTTTTCTTCTCACCTAATTGTTCAGATCACTAAAATTTTAAGGTTAGATGCAGAAGTATATGCCCAGTCAAAGATGCCAAAATGACCGACTAGTTTCAGACTCCAATGTCGCTGCATTTTCCTATTTGGATAATCGACCAATGGAATTTATGCAAAGGTCTTTCACGGGTACTCACTTTCATCGGGATCCTTCCCATAGTTGAGCTGCAAAGCTTCGACGAAGGAAGTGGCATTTTGTTCTTGCATTACTGTTAGGGAATCAAAACAAAATGATATATCAAGCTTGGTAATCAACGAAAGCATCTCAATTTTATTGCGGAGAAGATGAACCTCACATTGATGAAATAGAGTATATCTGTAGTTCGGTGCTGAGCCAGCCAATAGCAATTGGACTGCTTCTGAGTCTCTTGTCATAGAAAATAAAGCATATTCCTTCAGATTCTGAGTGTCCAGCAAAATACCAGCAAGCTGTAAAATACAAAAGCATACAAAAATTCGAGTCACACAGAGCAGTCCTGTCCATCTTTTTTCCTCCCCATAAGCATTCCTTGAAATGAAAAACATATATGTGCGAAGCACTAAACTTTGTCAAGCGATGGGCACTATCATTGCAACTTACCAAAAGCTTCCTCAGCACTGGGTTTTGAAGCAGATCATAGGCATCTTCACAGTAATTATCGGTAAGAATGGTGCACTGGGATCCAGCCTATCCAAACAGAGGAAGGCAGAAAGCCAATTTTAAAAATCTAGCCCCATGCCTCGTCCCACATTTCATTTGTAACTATATAAACCATCAATATTTGGTAGGAACAAACCTCGCCAGTAGTGCTTAGTATATCTTGTCCAACCACGAGGATGCTATGTTGTCCATTCCTCCTAAGGCTTTCAATGTCCACCTGCAAACAATCTTGAGACCAAATCAACAAACTATACAAAAATCACCCAGAACACCGGTTATACACTGTACACCAAGACAACTTCTTGATGAGTGATCACAAGACATGCGAGATTAAATTCACACGTAAGGAGTTGTCTGTTTCTGCAATGAGGACCCGTGGACCAATCAAATAATGGTTATTGAACATCTAATGGTGACCAGGACGTTCATTATCAGACAATGCCAACATCAGAAGATACAACTAAGCCAGATATATGCGTGTGAAATTCCCGATCAACAAGGTTTGAAGAATCACCTCGTCAGCAAAAAGCAGTGAGGCAGGATCGAGGCCAGCGTGGTGAAAGAGCCAAGCAGCCTGCCTCAGATTCCACATGGCGCGTCGCTCCACATTCATCAAAGGCACCACAACATCCTCCAGTCCATCACCACTCTCCCTCTGTCTATAACACAAGAGCCATGCATGACAAAGAGCGGCTACCATTGATGTTGTGCCTGCAGTACAGAAATGGGATCACTCACCACCATTCTCGCATTGAGTTACACGCAAAATTTGTGATATCTATCAATTAGAAGGAAAAGAAAATAATAGGGAAATAATGTCGATTGGAGTAAAATGGAGTCTTAACTGTTGGAAGGCCCAGAAAGTACAATTTTGGCCCTTCGATGGAGGTCTTCGTTCAAGATATTCTGAATCAAAATCCTCTGTTCTCGGAGAAACCGATTAAGATCGTGAATCTGAGCTGCGTCTCCTTGTTTGGACCACCCATTGGCCACAGGCCTGGCAGCATTTTTCTCAAGCAAACATGTGGAAGACGATACCGATCTCCGGTGAGCGGACTCGACACGATTCCTGGGCGGTGACAGAGGCAAAGAGCTGAAATTGAATCGGCGGTAGGCAGGCCCGGCAACATCGTGTGAGGAAGAGAGCGATTGGACGTCTGGAGATGGATTAATAGTAGTGAAGGTACGGCGGGAATGGGGAGGCAAAGAATAATGGGATTGTAATCGGGATTTGCGGGGAAGGGAGGGGCGAGGAGGGAGAGTAGAGAGAGAAGGATCGGGAAGGGGATGATCGGAAACGAAGAACAAATGGTGGGGAGGAGTAGAAGAAGAAGAGCAAGGGGAGCGTGGAGGCGAAGAGGGAAGGAAGGTGTAGGATTTGCTGCGGCTGTGTATGACTGATTTTGAGAGTACCTCACTCCTCAAGCTTTCTCCGAATCCTCTGTTTCTGTTTCACACAACCAACCGTTGACTATAATTTCCTTTATCACCCACATAACCGCTACCAATCGTAAGTCAACCCAGCAAATTAAACTTTATGAAATCCTTCAAAACTCACAACCCCATCACTCCTAATTGTTACGCCGTCAGCCGATCCTATCCTACATTATCATCATCCATTATTTCCCGCTTTTTTTGGGCCAGTTGCAACCATTACTTCCTAATTATGCAGACTTACCAATATTATACAAGTTCTGCGTCACAATTCCAACTATGTGTGTCTACATATACATGTCATTGTCATTTGGAGATCATGTCTACAAAATAATACATCCATCCACTTGATCAATATTATATTATCCCCTGTTCTAATTATAAGAGCCAGTTGACTAATTTGAAGAGATTAAAAAAGTAAGTTGAGTTAGTTATTTGTAGGTATTGTCTTTCCTAAAATATCATTGCTAATCAAGTGTATTGACTAGAACTATCATTGTTAGAAGGGCTATTTTAAAAAAATGTATAAATATGAGAGACAAAGTAGATTGGGATCTTATATTTAGGACCAAAATAAAAGTCAAACAGAGTCTTATACTAAGGATCGGAGGTAGTATTAAAATAATGTAAGTTGACTTTAAAGCATAAAGTTATGTTTTTTATGACAAAACATACGAACGTTATTTTTAAAGTATAGAGTTCAATAATATTTTTTTCTCGTATCAATTATTGATGTAATCAATTGGATCGGTGTGCAAATCGTGGGAGAGGCAGGAGCGAGTTCACTTCATCTTCCAATATAGAATTACTTTTGACTTTTGAATGATAGGGACGTGCATGCAACAATAGGGAACCAGTTTTGAGGAAGAACATAATAGTTGAGGGGACGTAGGAATGAACGGTAGATTATGTCTAAATTATACCTTCGGGCGGACCTTGAAAGAGGGTCTCTTTGCAGAGACGGAAGCGGTGATGAGGATGCTTGCTGTGTGGTGGCGAATCTGGGACATCCGAAATGGCGTGCCGGCGAGTCGCAGCGTGCGGGAGACTTCGCCACAACCCCACGGGCCTCCTCCAACCATTCTTGCGTCAACCTGGCACTGTTACTTCTAGTGCTGTCGTCAAAACCTATGCTTGGTTGTCGACCACCTGTGAGATCGTAGGTTTTGTTATCTTTGTTAGCTTTTCCGAAAAACATGTCATTTATGAAATCGGTGAGATCTAGCGCAGGTTCTGAAGTCCTCCGCCGCGTTTCTACCATCTTTTTCGGTGTTTCAGACCCTTTGCTTCTTCTGCTCAATCTGATGTTCCCTCCAAAGATATATACGGACTCGCTAACTAAGTCTCTCGATTTAGCTCGCTCATCCTGAGAGAAGGAGGTGCCGTGTGTTTTAAGCTTTAACTGTGAAGCCAAAAACTTCGTGGAATATACTATGTGCATAGAAAACATCACTTTTGGATCAAGCTTCTTGGGATCATATGATGCCCGGCGTTATGCTCTCGATTCATGTCTTGTTCTTGGGTTGCTTTATTATTTTATATCTTTCTTGATTCCTATGTATCATAGATGAGCTAGTGAAGGAAAAACTTCCTACACTATTTACTCTTAAAACTTGAAGGTACTCCTTCGATTCGGGGTCTTTTTTCTTTTTTCTGCCAACATTATATCCAACTTCGAGTCCTTGATGCTCAGATCTGAGTTCCATAATGTGTATACCATACCGGTCCTCAGATCCAATAATTCAACACTAATGTTTATGTTCTTCGCGGAATGAAACCACATGGACTAACAATTTATTTCACTACTGTCAACGAAACATTTGATCCAATAAGCAAACGCCTCTCACCCTCTTCTAACTAAATTAAACCCATGGAAGAAGAGAAAAATTCATCAGAACTTGACGTATAGTAGTAAAAAGCAAATGGAAGTAAAAGAAGAGAACTCTTATCACCAGGCAAAAAAAAGAAGAAGAAGAAGAGGAGAACTCTCCTGCTCGTATCAACGAACGAGTAGCTAAGAAAGTGGACGTCAGATTGTGTTGCATACATGGGGGTATATTATTTCACATTCAGCAGCGACAAAAACTTGGAAGACGAGTAGTGTACGGCAGACAGAAGAGAGGGGGTAGATGACGAGGTAGTAATGTGATGTTCTGGCAATATAATAATAATGGTTGAATTTTATGAAAGGGGAACAACTTGGAGCACAAATTGTTGAGGAGGCCAACCAAGTTGTGATTTGTGGGCGCAAACGGCTAAATTTAAAATTGGTTCAGCAACTGCGAGACTTCCCACCATGTGTTGTTGGGTTGGCTTTTCCTGAACCGGATAGCTATGCCATTTCTCCCCCTCCCCATTGGTTTGTTCCTTTGCCCTTTCTAAGGCATGTGGGGACAACAGAACTACTTATTACGTGAGAAGAGACGAATTGTACGGAGTCATTCGGATGCTCCATAATTTAAGTAGACCTCAGAGCTTGGGTTACTTTGGCGCGTTTTGCGGATCCATATAATAACATGACCAATCCAATTCATTAATTCAGTAAAATTAATAGACCCATTTGCTTCGATTGGACTATATTTTTTTAAAAAATTATAATTGTCAATAAATTAAATTTTAATTTCTATTATTTTTTCTCGGTAATTTGATTAGGTTTGCACGGAGTGAAATTGGAGTAAACCAATCAACCTAATTAATTCGAGGATAATAAAAATCAAACTTAATCTTATTTATAGGAGAGTTTCTTTTTACATATATTTCTTTCGAGTTGATCTCACTCTGTTCGATTCAATCTATAATAGAGTTTGGACAAACTCAATTGGAACCAAGCAGAAGAGAGAAGACAAGAAGGCAATAAATAAAACTCAGCAAAGCCCCAAATTCAGATACACCCGTCAGAATTCTACTCAAACAACTTTTTTGTTTTTTTTTCATTTCTGGGTAAAAAAATTACAAGAGAATTCTCCGCTAATAAAGTAATAGCACAGTCAGGTGGTGCTAATTTCGGTAACGTCCCTAGCACATGCTCAAAGGCCACTTTTACTTTGCTTCCCGTCCACATCCCTTTTGTTCAAGATCAATAAAAGTTGGAGCCTTTGACTTCCATGCTTGGTTTTATGTGGAGTCTGCAACTTTGATTGATTATTTAATAGAGGGTTGAGGAACTTGTATAAAAGGAGAAGAACCCTATATTCCCCACCATTCCCAATTCGCTTTTGCCTGTATCACTCGGACTCCTCCTTCTCTTAACTTTTCTCCAGAAACTTGGAAGCAAATATGGCAGCACGTGGACTTGTGGTAGCGTCGCTTCTTCTTTGCTTTTTATCAGGTTCCTGTTATGGCAACCGCCTTTTCTCTGCCCTGAAACAGACCCTTGACGTCACTGCTTCACCCACACAGGGCCAAGGTAATCACGATTCACAACCTTCTGTTTCTCAAATTCTCCATTCATTCGCCATTATTATAACTCTTTCCCGTTTTGATTTCGGATTGACTATAATTAAGTGAATTGATCATGATCATGTAATTAACTTGGCAGTTCTGGAAGCTGGAGAAGGTAAAATCAAAGTGACATGGGGTTTAAACAGAACCTTGCCGGCTGGGACGGACTCGGCCTACAAGAAGATCAAGGTGAAGCTGTGCTACGCGCCGATCAGCCAGAAAGATCGCGCTTGGAGGAAGACGGAGGAGGAGCTCTCGAGGGACAAGACTTGCCAGCACGACATCGTATCAAGACCCTACGATGCTTCCAACCCGACCACGCAGAGTTTCGAGTGGACTGTAGAGAAAGACGTGCCCACGGCCACGTACTTCGTGCGCGCCTACGCCTTTGACGCCGACGACCACGAAGTGGCTTACGGTCAGACCACGGACGCCGCCAAGACAAAAAATTTGTTCGAAGTGCAGGGAATCAGTGGACGCCATGCCTCCCTGGATATCTGCTCGGCTGTTTTTAGTGCTTTCTCTGTGGTGTCCCTCTTCTTTTTCTTCTATATTGAGAAGAGAAAGGCAAAGGTTTCCCAACCTAAGATAGAGATGACAAGTCAATAGTGTGTTACTAGGTAAAACGACATGCAGTACTGGTTTTCTATTCAGTGTTAAATTCCCCAAGCTTGTAGTCACTTTTACCCAGACTAAAATGGCCTTTGTCCCGTTGTCCAGGAAGGCAGAATTGTCTGGTTTGGAAGTTGGTGTTCCATTGTTGTTGTCTATATTTTTAAGGATATAAGGAAGAAATAAGTAAGGGATGGAATGCCACTCCTATTTTTACTTATTTGTCTGCAATATAGAGTTCTGTAAGTTCAGTCATTAATGCTGCCTTGTTAATTCGCATCATCCTCAGTTATTCTGCTCTAAAAATAAACTATAGATTTGATGAGGGGCTTAACTATTACGAGTTAAAATTATGCGGCAGCATTTATTCTTTTCTTAATTATCTATCTCGATCAAGCTTTATTAAATTACAGATATATACAAGTAACATTATCACTGGCCAAAGTGACACTATCTCACTCATGGGGAAGAAGACGGTTACGGTTTTTTATTTCTTAAACAATGTATTCAAATAGCCAGAGTGTCTAACAGAAGCAGTTTGCATTCTCATGGTTGGGAGTTGACCTTGAGGTTATTTACCCGTTGGTGGGGTGTGTGACACGGTCACAGAGCAAACGCTGAACTCCGGTGAGAAGCCAAAACATTCAGGTTAACAGGCTTACCCGTCACAATCAACGAACAGAAGAAGAATTGTGTGCGGCGCGCGCGCGCGCCATAAGCAAACCCGTGTATTGCTTTTTACTTGTTAGAAGCGCAGTCATGGGAAAATACAATGTCAGGTAATCTCTAATACAAAGGGAAAAACTTGGACAAGCTGTTTACCGCTCATCAACATGCAAGTCATAATAAATTTATAGAAACATCAATTTCCCTCAGAGTTGGACTTACAATAAGATCCCAGCACGCTGTATCATCAAACAATTTGTGTCTTCCTTAAATTAAAAATCGCCTTGGGGACTAAAATGCATGTCTTCACTAGCCATTCTGCCTGTACCCACAAGTGATATCCTGTCAGTATAAACATTAATATATCCAAATGCATCCGTGCCGGGAGGACATTCTAAGGCAGCTTCGAGAACTCTATGATACACCCCATGGGAATCAATACAGAACCCACCTTTGTGATCGTGTCCAGCTAGACAGAGCTTAACGCAATTATATCGGTGAATCAAATCTATTACTTCATCGTAGTTCCATAACAGTGCCTCTCCGGTTGAGGCCCCTGGGTCTAGAGGCAGATGGCAACAGACCACCACCTTCTGTTTCAATTCAGTTGCTTCCTCAAGAACACCATTCAGCCATTCCATCTGTTCCTTTCCAACAGCTCCATTGAACATGAGAAACCTCCTTTCGAGCCCCATTAAACCTACAGGACTGTTCTTATCTACATTTGGATTCTTTTCTCGGAGGATTTTCAAGGCCTCCAATGTTCTTGGATGATCTTGAGGCCAACCAATGGCACTAACGTCATAGCCATCCAGAACTACAAATCTATATTCTGGCACAGGAGAAAAATCATAGTAAGCATGGCCCTCAGGACTCTGAATGTTCAATAGCGGAAGTAACTTGCTGCGAGGAAGGTTGTATAGACAGTGATTGCCTATCATATGATACACGGCTCCCTTGAACTTGTCAAATTCATTCACAACTTTCTTCACGGTACTATAAGATTGATCTTTGGGACAGTATCCATCAACAATGTCCCCAAAATTTATCACAAATTTATGCCGCTGATGATCATTCCACGCTTTCACTGCTCTCTGTAATACGAGAATGCTATGCCTATAATAACGAGGAACTCCAAGGAATGAGCGACCATCAGGAATGTCAGCATACTGGACATCAGAGATCAATCCAAATGAAAAGAGAGGTTCTCTCCCTTGTGAAATGGCTAGTCCTTTAGACGTACCCATGGTTCACACTTCTACAAGTTCCTGAGAGGGTATGAATTTATTGTCAGCCAAGAACTGAAGTGCTTAGAAGTTCAATCAAAACAAAATCAGGCAAGAAGCACCCATCTCATCCTGCCAGTCAACTTAGCTATCATCCGACAATTAACAAGAACAGTCACCGTCCAATTTACAGAAACGTCATAAGTTATTGTGAAGAATGTACAGAAGAACAAACAGAAGTAGCAGGCAATCAGAATGACCTGAGAATATAATACAAATTTTAGGAATATGGTTAACACAGATGCCAGTCTTACCGACTAATTTAGACTTTTTCTACATTCTCGTGCTTTAACTTAAAATCCCAGCTATCACTTAACCCAATTAGGTGTCTGGGAACAACGCTGGAAGACTTGTGATTGTTCCTATATTGAATGAAATTATACGTACATTTGACAAATTAACTTGATGGTTAGTATCAACACATTCCGGCATTCTTCAACGAATCCTTTGTTTGTTGAATGAACCCCAACAAAATTGAACCCCCAAATCACACAGCTGCTCGTGATCAACAATTCAAGATATCATCCCATCAACATATACAAATCAAATTAAGATATTCACATAAACCGCGACCCGTCGAATCTAATTCCCCGCTGTCCCTTTAGGAACGAAAGCGATGCAAAAAAATAAAGGGCATTTAAAAGGGAAAATCGCTAAAACACAGTACAGAAATAGAGTTTCCCCGGGGAAAAAGTGTAACAGAAATAATGAGCAAGCAAGAGTAATGAAATATAAGAGTAACCGCCGCGGGATGAAACTCCACGAAGAACTCATATTTGCTCCCGATCAATAAGCATCAGGAGGGATCAACTCATAACCCATCCAACGATACAAAAAGGACAATATTAACCCAGGAGAAAGAATCCACCAGACAAGAGGAGAGAGAAAGAGACGAAACGTACCAGTGCTAAGAAAATCGGAAAGAGCGAAACTTGATGAAAGAGGCGCGAGTTTATGTTTGCGTAAGAATTTGGATGTTGGAATGATGAAATGACTGTTTTTAAAGTGCGAGACACTTCAATTCTTCTCCAATCCCTGGGAGCCTTCTGGCATCTCGTCAGTTATCGTCTGGCTTCCCCGTAATTGATTCATTCAATTATTAAGAGATTTCAGAAGGGGGAACAAACAAAACTAGCCCTCAATGCGAGTACAATTTCAAGTGCAAGTGTGCAACCACACAATTCCATTTTTAAATATGTCGAGTAGCTCAAAGTAATCAATTAAGAATGTACTCGAGATTATATTACACGTGTCATGAGGACAGAAAAATAAAAAATATTTAAATAATAATTTTACGAAATTTAAAATAAGTATGTAAAAAAATTTTATTTTTTACTGAGAACACTTTTTAACACCCTTGAATATAATTGAATTGCATTTTGGTACGGGGGAGCAAAACGAAAAGCGTAGGATTCCCGTGAACAATAAATCATCAAAAAAGCGGTCACAAAAGGAATGAGGCCATTACGCCATACACGCGTCCAAAGATCCGGCGGACGGCAGTGTTTGACTCTACTTCCCATATGTGCGCATCACGCGCTTGCTGGCGCCAATCACGAAATTTTGTGATGTTTGTGTTTGACTCCATGTGGCATTATCTAGGTAAAATCAATGAAATGTTTGAATATTGTTGTGAACACATATGAGAATGGAGGTGAAAAGAAGACCAAGAAAGTTGTGTACAGAGAGATATTTCAGAGTCTCAATACATGAAGACCATGACATGTTGTGTAATGGTTTGTAACTTGTGAAATGTGGACCTTTTTTTTGCATTTGTATATACTAACTACACTCCTTAACATACGAGCTAGTTTAACATTTAATTTGATTATAAATATAAGACCATGATTTACTTTATTTTCTATATTTATCTCTTTTTTTCTCCAAAATATCCTTATAATGATTGTAGATGTTAAAGGTTTATATGAAATGTTAATCCTAACACACATTATTAATAAGGATATTTCAGGGAAGACAACACCTATTAATTACAAATAATTAACTTAATAAATTTTCTTAGCCTGTTTCAATCAATTAGCTCTTATATTAAAGTCTGAACGTAGTATTAATTAATTTACATGACTTAAAATATAATTAATAGTTGCCTACGAATAACTAAATTCACGGTCCTTTGCTTCAAAGTTGGAAGTTTGGGCGGCCAAGAGACGAGAGCAAACAATTTTATCACGACGACATATTTTGAGAAGAAAGTTAAATCATAAATGCCGATAGAAGCATCATCAATTTCCGGCTTTTTTACTGATATACTGCAAACAGTAAAACATATTATCAAAATCTTGCAAAGTGAAAATTATTTACCAGAATACTATACTTAAAATCGTTCATAAAAAGAACGAGTTTAAGATCGTAAGAAAGTCGTTCATGCGAAGATGAATTTTACCTTTGCTATTTGTCCCATTGTCCTAATAAGTCTAACACATACATTATTTTGAATAAAAAAGTAAACTTCATCACGCATAGATCGATTTTGCCTTGCTCTCTCCTCTCTCTTCTCTCCTGCCATCGGAATCAAACGGAATATTTGAAAAATTGATGAGTAAGTAATAGTTTGAAAAAACACACGGTGATGGCTATTTGGGGAGGAAAAAAATGATTGATAGAGTTAATTTACAAATTATGGGATGAAGTAAAATAGGAAAATCAAGTATACACTCAGTTAATTCTTAATATAAAATCTATTTATCTAATTTAAATAAATTAAAGAAACTAAATTAATTACTTGATTATGAATATGAGAAAGAAGGTAGATAAATGACTTACACTTAGGATCAAAATTTACCCTCAGACTAAGTCCTACATTCAGGATAGGAGGAGTTTATTATATCAAAAAATTTAAAAGTGTTTTAATTTGAAAAAAAATTATAAATATGAGAGATAATATAGATAAAGGTCTTACATTTAGGGGAAAAAATTATAAATATAAGAAATAAAATAAATAAAAAATATTATATTTTTGAAAAAAATGATAAATACGAGAATTAAGATAGATATAAATATGAAAGATAAGATAGATAAAGATCTTACATTTAGAAAAAAATTATAAACATGAGAAATAAAATAGATAAAGGTTTTATATTTAGAAAAAATAATAAATATGAGAATTAAGATAGATAAAAGTCTTACATTTGGGAAAAAAATACTTTTACATTTTTTGATATAATGTACTCCTCCTGTCCTGAATGTAAGACTTAGTCTAAGGGTAAATTTTGATCCTAAGTGTAAATCATTTATCTATCTTATTTATGATATTCATAATCAAGTAATTAATTTAGTTTCTTTAATTTATTTAAATTAAATAAATAGATCTTACATTAAGAATTAACTGAGTGTATATTTGATTTTCCTATTTTACTCCATCCCATAATTTGTACATTAACTCTATCAATCATTTTTTTCCTCCCCCAATTAGCCATCACCGTGTGTTTTTTCAAACTATTCCGTACTCATCAATTTTTCAAATATTCCGTTTGATTCCGGTGGCAAGAGAGAAGAGAGAGGAGAGAGCAAGGCAAAATCGATCTATGCGTGCTGAAGTTTACTTTTTTATTCAAAATAATACATGTGTCAGACTTGTTAGGACAATGAGACAAATAGCAAAGGTAAAATTCATCTTTGCATGAACCATTTCCTTACAATCTTAAACTCGTTCTTTACATAAACGATTTTAAATATAGTATTCTGGTAAATAATTTTCACTTTGCAGGATTTTGGTAATATGTTTTACTGTTTGCAGTATATTAGTAAAAAAGCCTCAATTTCCAACACAACTTGTGTACTCGACAGCTCAAGGAAAAAGAAGGAAAAAAAAAAAAAAAAAGGGGTCCTCTTCCTCTCGATCTCTGCGCTCACGAAAATTTCTCTCTTCTTATTCTTAACTTGACTACTACCTATTGCTCTGCTTCCATTTCTCTCTGTTTCAAAGAGGAATGAAAGCAGAACAATGTGTAGGACTATAACGTGAAAAAAACACAAACATAGTTTAGCGTGGGTCAGAAGTTTAAGGCTTGGATGGAGGTTATGGTAGACTAAGATAAATTAGGACCAGTCACATTCAGCCATACATTCATATGCCTCTCTCAGGATTAAAAGTTGAATGACGATCATCCCACAATCATTTGCCACAAAAGGTTCTCGCAACTATTTGTATCCTACAATTCTGAAGTTCAATCTCATCTCAAAATACACGATAACCACAAAAGGGAGAATGAACATGGATCCAAAATCAGATCGAAGTAATACTTGCCTACCGCCCTCCTGTCCTCATATACTATTTCTATCTTAAATATAAAAGCTAGTTGATTAATCTGATAAGATTAAGAAAGATAAGTTAAATTAATTATTTTTAATAAATAGATGTTTTTTTTAAAATATCCTTACTAATCAAATGTATTGGTTAGAGCTACTATTATTAAAAAAACTACTTTGAAAAAAAATACATAAATATGAGAGACAAAATAAATTAGGATCTTATATTTAGAATCAAAATAAAAGTTAAATGAGATCTTATATTAAGGAAAGAAGGTAGTATTGTATTTCGCTAAATTCCATGATGATTCGACTGCAAACAAAATATAACGTGAGAGTTTGTCAGACTCGCACGATTTGAGTGTCATTTATTAATTGACGATGAGGTGTTTGGATCTCATGTAAACATCTTGTCAAATCAAAACACGGTAGATAATTTACTCTCGACTCTCCCTGTTTCTTTTTCACGTTCCATGGAACCGTATGCAACGTAAATTTCTAACATTTTGCATTTAGGTAAAAGTTATCACCACAAAAAGATTAAAGGTGCCATTTATACCATGCGTAATGAAGTGGGAATGATTCAAATTGCACAATGAGAGGATAGCCACCAAGAAAAGTGGGGGAAAAAAACTTGCCTTGATATCAAAATTCCACTGCCTTAGTTGGAAATGGTGTGCGATCATTCTCCCATCATCCCACGCAGGTTTATGTGGTTATCATGTAATTAGAAACGGCAGCTACAGTGTATATATAAGTGGACCTCAAGCTTTCAGAGCTAACAGAGAAGAAGATAGAAAATGCCAAGTTTCTGCCAAGTTCCATGGCGCAAGACAACACTTCCTGGTTGCTCCTTACTTACCCATCTTCCTCATTCTACTATTCAAATGGTATTCCAAGTCTGCAATCAGCAAAAGCTCACTCCCTTCTCCACCAAAATTGCCAGTGATAGGAAATCTCCATCAATAGGTTTGTACCCTCATCGTACCCTCCATTCTCTGGCTCAGAAGTATGGCCCCTTGATGCTTCTTCATCTTGGGAGAAAACCAGTACTTGCAGTCTCTTCTGCAGAAGCTGCTCGCGAGGTGATGAAAACCCATGATCTAGTATTTTCAAACAGGCCTAAGCTTAAAATGTTCGATATGCTATTATATGGCAAGGACGTTGCATCAGCTCCATGTGGAGAATACTGGAGGCAGTTAAGAAGCATCTGCGTGTTGCATCTTCTGAGTAACAAAATGGTTCAATCCCTTCGCGGCGTGAGAGAGGAAGAAACTTCCGTAATGATGGAAAAGATCAAGCACACTTGTTCTGCTAACAGATCAGTGAACTTGAGCGAGTTATTTTCATCGATTGCGAACGATGTGGTTTGCAGGGCGGCTTTGGGCAGGAAATATGGCGAGGGGAGTGGGAGAAAATTTATGGAGTTACTAGACAACTTTGGAGAGCTAATGGGTTCTTTTGTGTTAGGGGACTATACACCTTGGCTTGATTGGCTTGGTCATGCGAATGGCTTTTACGCTAGAACACATGCAGTGGCTGAAGAGTTTGATCGATTTCTGGAGGAAGTAGTTGAGGAGCACATGAATCGTCCAAAAGAAGCCTATGATTCTACTGAAGGCGATGATGATTTTGTGGACCTTTTGCTTTCGCTCCAAAGGACAAACTCTATTGGCTTTCCCATTGACAGATCTGCCATAAAGGCTGTGATCTTGGTAAGAAGCCTAGGAAAGAAAGCGATGCAAAAAATAAAGGGCATTTAAAAGGGAAAATCGCTAAAACACAGTACAGAAATAGAGTTTCCCCGGGGAAAAAGTGTAACAGAAATAATGAGCAAGCAGAGAGTAATGAAATATAACAGTAACCGCCGCGGGGATGAAACTCCACGAAGAACTCATATTTGCTGCCGATCAATAAGCATCAGGAGGGATCAATTCATAACCCATCCAAAGATACAAAAAGGAGAATATTAACCGAGGAGAAAGAATCCACCAGACAAAAGGAGAGAGAAAGAGACGAAACGTACCAGTGCTAAGAAGATCGGAAAGAGCGAAACTTGATGAAAGAGGCGCGAGTTTATGTTTGCGTAAGAATTTGGATGTTGGAATGATGAAATGACTGTTTTTAAAGTGAGAGACACTTCAATTCTCCTCCAATCACTGGGAGCCTTCTGGCATCTCGGCAGTTATCATCTGGCTTCCCCGTAATTGATTCATTCAACTATCAAGAAATTTCAGAAGGGGGAACAAACAAAACTTGCTCTCAATGCGAGCACAATTCCATTTTTAAATATGTCGAGTAGTTCAAAGTAATCAATTAAGAATGTACTATTTGAGATTATATTACACGTGTCATGAGGACAGAAAAATAAATACAATTTGAATAATAATGTTATGAAATTTAAAATAAGTATGTAAAAAAAAAAAATTCATTCTTACTGAGAACACTTTTTTACACCCCTTGAATGTAATTGAATTGCATTTTGGTACGGGGGAGCAAAACGAAAAGCGTAGGATTCCCGTGGACAATAAATAATCAAAAAAGCGGTCACAAAAGGAATGAGGCCATTACGCCATACACGCGTCCAAAGATCCGGCGGACGGCATTGTTTGACTCTGCTTCACATATTTCATGCAGTTTGTAGGATGGGGTGGCTCTGGAGACAAATTAAATATTGCACATGGGATATAATTTACTGTCATGCATGTAATATGAGTATACTTATTTGGACAGCAATGCTAATCTAACGCACGAAAAATACAAGCTAGGTTTATTAATTGCCACATCTTTTTACGTTAACACTCGACAATGTTAAAGGGAACAAGACATCTTATGAGAACAATGAAGTATGTATTAAGTTTTTTTTCCCTAAATGCCCTTCACTATTAGAGCGTGGAGTAATGTCAGTATGGATCAAACTATTAAATTGTAAAATAACAAGACACTTAACTAATAGTAGTATTAACTAAGTTTTAAATCTATGTGACTCGGTTAAGCATATATTGTAAAAAGGAACAGATGGAGTACCCATTAAATCTGTCTTCTCAGTATCAAATACATAACATTAAAAATATAAAAGTTAATTATGTGTTTATGAAAAGGTTAGAATGCTTTTCATGAGGACAAATACCAGCGATATGTTTGACAGTTTGAAAAAGGGAATTCCAACTCTGCAATCAGAAAAGGCGAGTCGCAATTTCCGAAAAGAAGAAAAAGAAAAAGAAAAAGAAAAGAAGGGAAATGTAACAGTGTGTAATAATGAGAATATATACTAATAATTTATGGAGGGCACAAAGGAGAGGGGTAAAGAAGTAATTTGGCGAGAAAAGGACGCTGATAAAATACAGGAAACTGGGGGGGCCGAGCATGAGGTCGAACACGTCGCATTCGCTGCCAAAACGCGGGGCTTCTCTTTCCGTTTCAGTGGGCTCTCTGCTTCCCACAATCATTGTCCCTCTCTCCCTCCACTGTACAAGTGTTCCTCCATCCAGCGGTCCTCGCTTCTCGGAATCTTTCTTTTTCCTCCTCCCAACGGCTCTGATCCCCACATTCTGTCTCAATCGTGGTTTAAGCCTCCGGGTCCCACACTGACTACGACCCCCTCCTCCCCCACAAAATTAATCACACCCCCTGCTTTCCCTTTAACTCCTAATTAATACTTACAAAAGGATACATAAATATTTACAGACACATGTTCCCACAAACCACAGCTCAAATACAGTAGTGAGGTTATCTCTGATTAAGGCACGTCGTAGTTCGCGTATATGAGTCTTCTACAGCTGAATTAATTGCTTTATTCAGGTTCTGGACCTATTCAACAAAACATTTGAAACAAAGCAAAAAATGAAGAATTTTGGCACTCTTTTGAATTAGGGGGACTTACTCTGATCCCACAGAAAGCTGCTGAACTCAAGTCAGGATACATTTAGTTAATGTTCAAATTAAATCATGCATTAATGCAATTTTAACATGATATGATGATATGTATGAACGTAAATTTCATAATGACGGCCGGTTTGATTGCAACGAGGGCATCATGTGCAATTTTCTCGCAGCGCAGGCGTGCAATCCAATCTTTACCACAGAATCCATACATATGCCGATAGAGAGATAGTTGTAGGCCCCACTTAAAGATAGGGTAGAAATATTCCCAACCACTTACACACAGCCGTACAATAATCCTAAGTTATAATTATAAAAACTCATCTGTAATCTATTAATAAAGTTTTATAATTAAGATAAGAGGTAGTATTATCACTATATTTGTTTCCTGTCCTGATATACGTCTCAGTTCTTAATATAAAATATATTTAAATTATTTGATTATATTAAAGAAATTAGGTAAGTTAGTTAATTATAAAAAATATGATATGTTTTTCTTAAAATATCATAATTATCTTCTTAATATTCTCCCTTCCTTTCCTACTTGATTGGGTCAAGGACGTATTAATACGAATAATTTAAAAAAATTAATAAATGTGATAAATATGTATTATATTTAGAACAAAAATTAATTCAATAATTAAGTGTTATAGTAAAGAGTAGACGTGGATGAGGTCTTTGTATGCCACTTAAACACTTTGTATTTAGACAGAAGTTGTCAAAAAGATGATGAACGATTGCCATTCGTACTATGCGTAATAAAGCGGAAAGGTTCATATTATATCCAAATGAAAGGATAGCCAGAAGATAAAAGTAAAAAAAAAAAAAAAAACTATCACTTAATTCCGAAATTCCGCTGCATCATTTGGAAATGGTTGCCCCGCGGCAGCTACAGTTTATAAGTGTGTGTGTGTGTCTGAAGGGACCTCATAATGAGCAAACACACAGAAGATAGAAGATAGAGAGAAAAATGCCGAGTTTTGTGACAGGTTTCATGGTGCAAGACAGCACTTCCTGCTGGTTGCTCCTTATCTTACCCATCTTCCTCATTGTGATATTTAAATGGTATTCCAATTCTGCAGTCAACAAAACCTCTCTCCCTTCTCCACCAAAATTTCCAGTGATAGGAAATCTCCATCAACTAGGTTTGTACCCTCATCGCACCTTCCATTCTCTGGCTCAGAAGTATGGTCCCTTGATGCTTCTTCATTTTGGTAAAAAACCAGTACTCGTAGTCTCTTCCGCAGAAGCTGCTCGCGAGGTGATGAAAACCCATGATCTCGTATTTTCAAGCAGGCCCAAACTTAAAATGTTTGATATCCTCTTATATGGCAATAAGGACATTGCCTCAGCCCCATATGGAGAATACTGGAGGCAGTTAAGAAGCATCTGCGTGTTGCATCTTCTGAGTAACAAAAGGGTTCGATCCCTTCGCGGTGTGAGAGAGGAAGAAACTTCCATAATGATGGAAAAGATCAACCACGCTTGTTCTGCTAACAGATCAGTGAACTTGAGCGAGTTATTTTCATCGGTTACGAACGATGTGATTTGCAGGGCGGCTTTGGGCAGGAAATATGGAGAGGGGAGTGGGAGAAAATTTATGGAGTTATTAGCGAAGTTTGCAGAGCTGCTGGGTTCTGTTGTGATGGGGGACTATATACCCTGGCTTGATTGGGTTGGTCATGTGAGTGGCTTGTACGGTAAAGCCTACGCAGTGGCTGAAGAGTTTGATCGATTTTTGGAGGAAGTAATTGAGGAGCACGATACGAATCGTCCAAAAGAAGGCGATGGTGATTTTGTGGACGTTTTGCTTTCCGTTCAAAGGACTAACTCCATGGGCTTTCCCATCGACAGGTCTGCCATAAAGGCTTCGATCTTGGTAAGAAAAAAGATGTACCATCTCTCTTGTGTGTTGTAAATTACTCTTCAGGTCCTTGCTTATAAGAGTTAATAAATTTGCACAAGTTAAGGGAGCTAAATAAATCACTTAATTATTATAAATGTGAAAACTTTTTTTTTGGGTGAAAACTATATTGTGTGTAAACATCAATTCTAATTTTTCTCCTATATATATATATATATGTATCATTTTTCACTTTCTGAATTAAGTGTTGTAATTGAATAACAATTTAGTTAAATTGTTAACTGGTTCTTCTGAATATTCTATGTCATTGGGTCTATCATTACACATACGCATTTATGGTCGCAAGTTACCCCCTCACCTATATTTTTTCAAGGAAAACCCGTGTCCTATTCGTCTTGAGACATGACTAGTGAATTTGATTTTATAGGACATGTTTTTTGCGGGTACAGATACCACATACACAGTCTTAGATTGGACAATGGCAGAATTGTTAAGACATCCAAATGTTATGAAAAAGTTACAAGATGAGGCTAGAAATGTGAAAGGAGACAAATCACACATAATAACAGAGGAGGATACAGATCACATGCCCTACCTAAGGGCAGTGTTGAAAGAAACACTTCGCCTGCACCCTCCAGTTCCTTTACTACCCCCTCGAGAAAGCATGCAAGAAATAAAACTACTTGGCCATCACATTGGTGCTAAGACGCATGTAATTGTGAATGCTTGGGGGATAGCAAGAGATCCTGTGCATTGGGACAATCCTCAAGAATTCAAGCCAGAGAGGTTCTTGAACAGTTCAATAGATTATAAAGGACTTGATTTTCAATTGATCCCATTTGGAGCAGGAAGAAGGGGGTGTCCTGGAACACAACTTGCAATGGCGTTGAACGAGCTTGTGATAGCAAACGTTGTGTTCCACTTTGATTGGTCTTTGCCAAACGGAGAACAAGGGAAGGACTTGGACATGTCTGAAGCAGTTGGGCTTACTGTGCATAAAAAGATACCTCTTCTGGGAGTTGCGTTGCCGTGCAACAAGTGAAGGCCACATGAATCGTACCTAAAGAAGCCTTTGATACTACAAATGGTGATGACGATTTTGTGATGTAATGCCTCTTGTTAGGAAATAAAATTTGTATGTCGAAATAAAATATACCACCTCCGATCTTATTTATAAGACCTCGTAAACCAGGTTTTATAGAAAGTAGTAGTTTTTTGTGTTAGAGATGAACATATAAATAGCGATTTGACGGAGAGTGGCAAATTCTAAACTGGTAGCCTGTGACTTTTGTGACGTGTGAAGTAAAGCAGAAGGTAATAATATTCAGTTATCGTAGGGCCAAATTGGGATGCGTACGTCCTAAACGAAGAGGGCCACAAGAAACAAATTGGCTCATGCGTATCGGGTCGGGTTATGAGATACAAACCACGAAACTCAACGGCCCACTACAGCAAATGAGGATATCTACTACTTGCTTTCTGGGGGGTTCAGAAGTTATATGAAAAAACCTTCTGACCATCATAGGCTTTACGTAGGTTAGAGCCCTTCTATTCAAATGGGCTTGGCTCAACCTAATACAAAACCTCGTAATGTTAAATTAGGATTAATTAATTACTTAAAATAAAGTAAATATTCTCATTAATTAATTACTGATATTCCACATTATTATTAAACTTAAACAAATTTAATCCAACAAAGAATCATGATTAAGATGCACTTTGTTTTTTTTTTTGTTTTATGAATAACCTGCCATTGTTCCCCTACTTCATAATATTAAAAATGGAACATAATTTAATTGGCTGTTATATTGTCAATTCTTTTAAATTTTTCCACTCATAACCTGATCTACACTATATTTATCTTATTTTGCATTTGTATATACTAACTACACTCCTTAACATACGAGCTAGTTTAACATTTAATTTGATTATAAATATAAGAACATGATTTACTTTATTTTCTATATTTATCTTTTTTTCTCTCCAAAATATCCTTATAATGATTGTAGATGTTAAAGGTTTATATGAAATGTTAATCCTAACACACATTATTAATAAGGATATTTCAGGGAAGACAACACCTATTAATTACAAATAATTAACTTAATAAATTTTCTTAGCCTGTTTCAATCAATTAGCTCTTATATTAAGGTTTGAACGTAGTATTAATTAATTTACATGACTTAAAATATAATTAATAGTTGCCTACGAATAACTAAATTCACGGTCCTTTGCTTCAAAGTTGGAAGTTTGGGCGGCCAAGAGACGAGAGTAAACAATTTTATCACGACGACAGATTTTGAGGAGAAAGTTAAATCATAAATGCCGATAGAAGCATCATCAATTTCCAACACAACTTGTGTACTCGACAGCTCAAGGAAAAAGAAGGGGAAAAAAAAAAAGGGGGTCCTCTTCCTCTCGATCTCTGCGCTCACGAAAATTTCTCTCTTCTTATTCTTAACTTGACTACTACCTATTGCTTTGCTTCCATTTCTCTCTGTTTCAAAGAGGAATGAAAGCAGAACAATGTGTAGGACTATAACGTGAAAAAAACCCAAACATAGTTTAGCGTGGGTCAGAAGTTTAAGGCTTGGATGGATGTTATAGTAGACTAAGATAAATTAGGACCAGTCACATTCAGCCATACATTAATATGCCTCTCTCAGGATTAAAAGTTGAATGACGATCATCCCACAATCATTTGCCACAAAAGGTTCTCGCAACTATTTGTATCCTACAATTCTCACTACAAAAAAATATGTTAATTCTAGCGGTTAGAGTGTTACATTTCTAGCGGTTTTAACCGCAACAAATCAAATTTGTAGCGGTTAAGGAAACCGCTAGAAAAACAGGTGCAAGAAAAAAATTTTAGCGGTTATCGCAACCGCTACACATCATTGTCAAAACGATAGAAAATTTCTAGCGGTTTCTAACCGCTAGAAAATATCTGAAGGAGACACATTCCTAGCGGTTATAAAACCGCTAGAAAAGTTCCCGGATAAAAATTTCTAGCGGTTTTATAACCGCTAGAAACCTGCTAAACGAAATCCATTTTGCCGGGAATTAAATAATTTCAGGCGCGAAAATTACTAGCGGTTATAGAACCGCTAGAAATGTTTGGAATAACCGCTAGAAATGTTTGGGAAATTAAATTTTCCCGCCAATTGAATTTTAGGAATGGCGGGGAAAAATTTTCTAGCGGTTTGAACCGCTAGAAATTTTGGCGCAAAATTTAAATTTGACGAAATATTTCTAGCGGTTTGGAATTGCTAGAAATGTTTACCGTGCCAGAAAATTTTTTTTATGGTTTTTCATATTATAATTTTAAAAACCATTAAATAAATTATGTTGAAGAATTTTTGTTAATTTGTATAATTAGTTATATGTTACATTTTATATATTCAAATTTTGTAATAAAAAATATGTAATTAAATGATGAATGTGTCAAAAGAAGTGAATTTAATTTAATAAGATAATTTAATTGAATATTTAATAAGATAGTTGAATTGAAGATGATATATTTTGTAATATTGAACCTATAGTATTAGGTTGATGAGTATTTGAATCAGTTGAGGAGGGCATGAAAAGTGTGGAGAAGAAAAATCTGAAAGGAAAGGAGAAATAAATATGTTAGTAAATTTTAAATAAAAACAAATAAAAGATACAATGAATTATAAAATAAAATTCACTTACCATAGAGTAAAGAGAAAAAAACCACCATATGAGATAGTAAGAAAAAAGAGAGAATTATGAAGAAGAATAGGAGAGGAAGGAAAAGAGATGGAGTAAATGAATGTAGAGAAGATATGGTATTTATAGAGATCAGCGACACATTTGTAGCGGTGTTTTTGTAGCGTTTTATTGCATTTTGTAGCTGTTATCCATTTTCTAGCGTATATATAAGCGCTAGTATTTCGTAGCGGTTATATATGTAGCGGTTATTAACCGCTAGAAATTTAGTATTTTTTATTTTTTAAAATCTGAACGAATTTTAATTTACAGATATGTATTTTGTAGCGGTTAATAACCGCTACAAATTACAATTTCGTAAAGTTTTCGTGATAATACATTTGTAGCGGTTATTAACCGCTACAAATGCAATTTCGTGAAAATACATTTGTAGCGGTTAATAACCGCTAGAAATTACAATTTCGTGAAAAAAATTTGTAGCGGTTATGTAACCGCTATAAATGAAAATTTTTTTATTTTTAAAAAAACTGTACGAATTTTAATTTATACATATGTATTTATGGACGAAAAATTTTTTAAATAATTTATTTTGGATGCTGCTATTCTCCATCATCATCCGGCCTGAAAGGACACATTTTAAAAAAATTTGTTAAATTTATATTGTATTTGGAAAAAATTAGTAATTAGTAGTTAATTATTTAAATAATTTAAGAAAAGACGTGTACCTGATAAGTGGCAAATTATCATTTCCTTGAGGAAAGAAGTCTTCAAAATTCGAGGGTTGGAAGGGTTCACTGTCGTAAATAATGTCACCATCACCCATATCGTAAAGATCCCGTGGCTTGAGGTGAACGACCATATTCCAGTCTTTATGTTTCTCGTCCTCGACATAGTAAATTTGGTGTGCCTCAGAAGCAAGGATATATGGCTCATCATCTTCAGATGCCCCCGTATGAATAAGTCTAGAGAAATTGACTGAGGTGATGCCCAAATGGTCAGTAGCGAGTCCCCGTGAAGTTGTCGTATTTGCCCAGGAGCATTTGAACAGTGTCACGGTGAAAAGCTGGTAACTCAACTCAATAATGTCAATTAGCTTTCCATAGTAAGTGACGCCTCCAAAGCGCATATCGCCATCACTACTGCTAGCATAACATCTCGTTCCGAATGTCCCGCAAACTCCAGAGTTTTGTGTGAGCAATCCCTGATCACGTCCAACCGTACAGAACTTGAAGCCGTTGACATTGTACGCGGTAAACCTTCGTGCATGGTCTAACGGACCGAGAGAAAGAGCTTTGAATTCATCTGTGTATGGGCTGTTGTCATTACGTATTCGAAACGGTGTCCCCGTGAAGTTGTCGTATTTGCCCAGGAGCATTTGAACAGTGTCACGGTGAAAAGCTGGTAACTCAACTCAATAATGTCAATTAGCTTTCCATAGTAAGTGACGCCTCCAAAGCGCATATCGCCATCACTACTGCTAGCATAACATCTCGTTCCGAATGTCCCGCAAACTCCAGAGTTTTGTGTGAGCAATCCCTGATCACGTCCAACCGTACAGAACTTGAAGCCGTTGACATTGTACGCGGTAAACCTTCGTGCATGGTCTAACGGACCGAGAGAAAGAGCTTTGAATTCATCTGTGTATGGGCTGTTGTCATTACGTATTCGACGTGTAAACCAACTGGGAAACTCTTTGTGGACTCTTTTATCAATGTCAGCAGAACGCGCACGGCCCCGTAGCTGACGCCTGAGATAACTTCTAAACTCACTATAGTAAAGTGTAATTTGTTAGAAGAGTCAGTAAGAAACAAATATAAAGTGTAAAAGCTAGTGAGCTTATATGATATATATACTTACTGCATGAAGGGTTCAACTTGGCTGCAATTTATCAAAACGTGTCTGTGTGCCTGGAGTTTCTCTGTAGGAGTGAGTCTGAAGAATTCATATCCTCCAACTGGTTTCCCAACAGGAGGAAATAAAGTTGACGTGGAAGGACCAGGAGGAGAATCATCTACGCGACGCGGGCGGTTAAAAGATGTCTCCATGTCATCAAAGTACCTCGAACAGAAAGTTAGGACCTCATCTCCGGAATAACCTTCTGCTATTGACCCCTCAGGCCATGCCTTATTCCTAACATATGATTTTAATTTTCCCAAGTACCTGTAAGTTAAAATTGCATTAATAATTACGAGTAAATGAAAGAACAATGTGAAATTTAAAGAGGCGGGAATAAAAGATAATCTAGTACCTCTCTATAGGGTACATCCATCGATAGTGAACTGGGCCAGCAACCTTTGCTTCTCGAACAAGGTGGACAGTCAAGTGAACCATAACAGTAAAGAATGATGGAGGAAATATCATCTCCAAGTGACAAAGTGTAAGAATAATTTTATTTTGCAGCTGATCAAGCTCTTCCGCTACCAAGACCTTCGCACACAACTTCTTGAAAAATGAACATAATTCTACCAAAACCACCAATACATCAGAAGGAAGTGTGTTTTTCAAGGCCAATGGAAGTAACTGTTGCATAAGAACATGAGAGTCATGACTTTTCAACCCAGTAACCTTTCGAGCCTGCAGATCGATACACCTTGAGATGTTGCTAGAATATCCATCTGGTACTTTTATGTTCTTCAACGTCGAGAGGAAGATATCCTTGTTCTGCTTTGTCAAGGTGAATTTAGCTGGCTGAAACTTGTCGTTTTCATCAGGCCAAGCCTCTTCACGAATTCCCCAGGCCCGTAAATCTTTTCTAGCTGCGAGATGGTCTTTGGACTTTCCAGCTTCATTGAGCAACGTATATAGCACATTATCGCACACATTTTTTTCAATGTGCATAACATCCAAACTGTGTCGTAGCAAATTAGATTCCCAATAAGGAAGAGTGAAAAATATGCTTCTCTTCCGCCATTG